GCCTTAAAGGGGCCGCGCCCTGCCCCGCCGCTCTTAAAGGCGCCGCGTCCGTCGCGCGTCACCCCCCTCCTCCCCCCGCCCCCCCAGAAGCTCCGACCGCTCCGGGGTGCTGGTGGGCCCCAAGGGCTGGGGTCGGGGCCTGTCTCTGCGGGACGGGCAGCGGCGCTGGGCGTTTTAGGGTGGCGGTGGAGGGTCCTGAGCCTCTCACTGACTCCCTGGGGTGCTGGGGACCCTGGGGACCTTGGGCTGGAGACATTGGGGACCTTCGGCTGGGGACACTGGGCTGGGGACATTGGGGACCCAATGTGGATGCTCTGCACTGGGACCACGGGGACACTGTGCTGGGGACACTGTGCTGGAGATGTTGGGGACTCTCGACTGGGGACACTGGGGACCCCATGATGGGGACATTGGGGATGCCATCCATGCTGGGAGCATGGGGACATTGTGCCAGCCATGTGGGGACCCAACATGGCCACCTTGTGCCAGGGCCATGGGGACTCTAGACTGGGAACACGGGGGACCCTGTGCTGGGGACTGTGGGGACCCTGTGCTGGGGATCCATGGGGACCCTGGGCTGGGGACCCCATGCTGGAGACATTGGGGTCCCTGTCCTAGGACCATGGGGACCTTTTCTGGGGACAATGGGGACCCATGATAGCTGCTCTGCGCTGGCACCGCGGGGACCCTGTGCTGGGGACACCGGGGACCCCACGCCATTGACACGGGGACCTGCCACGCAGACCCTGTGCCGGGCCGTGGGGACACTGTGCCAGCCATGTGGCGACCCAACATGGCCACCCCATGGGGGACCCTGGGCTGGCAACTGTGGGGACCCTGAGTCAGGGCCACGGGGACCACGGGGACCCTGTGCTGGGGACACTGGGGACCCCCGCCAGCCCCATGGGTCCCGTCATGGCCGCCCCGATCCCGGAGGCCCCAGTGCCCTGCCAGGGGGCACCGGGGGGTACCGGGGGATGTGGGGGGGTCCCCACGGGTGACGTCAGCAGCGGCGTTGCCGGGTGACGGCGGTGGCGCCCAGGCCCGCGGTGGGGCCTGACGTCAAGGCCTGATGGCCGCCTGCCCGCCCGGCAGCATGGAGGCGGTGGCAGGCGCGGGCAGCCGCCCCCGGGGTGGGGGGGGGGGGGGCGCCGG